CGGGATCGTGGATGCTCAATGCTGGGGGAGTCCCATAATAGGACGAAACGGCCTTCCAGTGCTTCCCATAGTTCTGATAATCTTTGTTTTCTTATTACATTATCAAAGTTTATCAAATGGACTAATTGCTTTAAATTCATTAGTAACTGTTAGATGATATCCCATAAGTTATCTGAAGTGACTTAAACTATTGTATTAAGATATATTGGAACCTGGTTTCATTTATAGCTTTTATAAACTTAACGTTAGCAATGGGATAGCATTTGAAACCATTTATAGTACTACACAGAACTAGGCTTAGTAAAAGGTATTACTTTCCATCAATACATAACTTAAATTATAAAGGATAGTTCAACCTTTCATCTTATCTAAATCAGTATGATTCAAGGTCAATAAAATAAAAACTCTTTTAAAAATCGTTTATCGAGATGTTCATAATTAACTGATTGGAAAGTACATTTATAGTTGAAATCATTAGTCGATTGAAGCTAGACCAACCATGGAAAACCTAAAAGCACTGGACGGCCGTTTCGTCGTATTGTGGGACTCCTCAGTAGTGCGCATCCACGATCTCACCTCACGAGATTCAAACCCAGGGCCTATCAATCTCGCGCGCGAGCACTTAACCTATAGATCACCGAGACAACTGGCATCCAACGGTGTTAATGTCTAACTTAAACCAATCTACGAAATTGAGCAACCGTCCATCAGTGTCTTCAGGAGTTGATATCTCACAACAGACGTGGTTGCACTTCAATGGTTACTGCTGAAGGGTTCCACAATACGCCGAAACGACCGTCCAGTGCTTTCAGGTTTTTCATGGTTGTCTAGCTTCACTTAACTCATGACTTCAACCATAGAATTACTGAAATTTTCACAAAAACCCCTTCTGATTGTTAAATGCCAAGTATAATGATTTTTAAAAGAATATGGTGTGTACAGAATTTTTCTTCTTTTTAAAAAAATCAAATAGGTCATTATCAAACTAGTGAGAATACTTAATTAAGAAATACAGATTCTTAAATCGTTAAAAAACCCAAAGTAACTATTGAATATCCATAAACAAGGTTGACACTAGCTAAACAACTGACGTTCAGTACTGTAGTCGAGCTTAACTCCAAAACTAAAGGTCTTGAGCTCGATACATGGCTGAGTCGTATATTAGCATCGTTTTAAAGTGTCATGCGGATTATGGCTAAGCTCAATGATTTCCTATTATTGTTCCACTAAAGTTACTATTATTAATAATGACTTTATTCAATATTATATTTTTGGTACAATATAGAATTGTCAGTACAATGTATTTCAACAAGTTTCCATTTCTTACTTCTTGGTCGATCCTAACGACAAATAGTGAGTGATCACCAGTTAGAAGTGGATACTTCAGAAATCAATATCTGGTGAATATTGCCAGCAACCATGATGTCTCTGATTAGGCTCTTTTGTAACTTGTACAACGAAAGATTATACACTTTTCAGAGACTCACCTGAATAGGTTATACAATTAATAACTATATTAATGTACTAAAACCAACAAGAAAACAGATGACTTGTTAGATGTTAGATGGAAGAGACAGATTTAACCCCAGATATTCATTCACTCTATAGTATAAATTAAATTCCTGATTATTGTTTGGTTGAATCTTTCCATTAATGTTTTCAGGACTGCAACTGGTCAGTATCTAATTGGCATATATGCATACTGTGCGTATTGCCTCGATATAGCCTAAATTCACAAGCAAGTGAATAATGCGATGGCGTTTAAAGCAAGTCCCAGAGTAAACATCAATACCTACATGAGATGTAGGTACATCCAGCTGACAAGTCCCAAATAGGACGAAGTGGCGCTTGTCCTGGATTCCACTTCTGACCACTATCCATCTTTGATTATAAACTAGAAACTAAACAAAAACTCAATGAATGTGAATATAAAAAATGAAATATATATAAGCTGTTTATTAAACCATCATTTGAGAAATAATCAATCGATCATAGTTTATCAACAAAAAAAAAGAGAAAAGAAAAAAACGAAAAAAAACGGTGAACTTTTTAACTTTATAAAGTGAAACAAAAATTTTTTTAACACCCATTGAGAACTTTTTTTATTAGTTTACTAATATTTTTTTGGTAAAATTATTTAATTATTTTTTTTCTTTTTTAGGGGGGGGGGGTTGAAAAAAAATTTTTTTTTCGTTTTTTTTTTTAATTTTTACAAAAAAGTTCAAATTTAATTCATTTAATTAGTTCTAGTTAATTAATATTGATTAGGTAGTAATAACTAGTTGTATCTTAGGAAAGGAGAGAGTTGGCAAAGAAAGGTCAGCATTTCTACAATTGAAGAAGATATGGAACTCAAAACAACTGACAACTAATTTTAAAGTCAAAATCTTCAATACGAACGTCAAGACAGTTAGTTTTATAGTACGAAGCTGACACGTGGAGAACTACTACAACTATAGTCAAGAAGCTACTAGTAATTATAAACAATTGTTTACGCAAAATATTCAACATTCACTGGCTGGATACTATCAGCAACAGCGTTTTATGGGAGACGACAAACCAGCTTCCAGCTAAAAAGGAAATTAGGAAAAGACGTTGGAAGTGGATAGAATATATATTAAGGAAATCACGAGACTGTATCACGAGGCAATCCTTAACCTGAAATGGTGAAGGGAAGCGGAAAAGAGGAAGACCAAAGAACACATTACGTCGAGAAATCGAGATAGACATGAGAAGAATCAACAACACTTGGATCGAACTGCAAAGGAAGGCCAAGGGCGGAGCAGGTTTGAGAATGCTGATGGGCAACCCATGCTCCTCTATGAGGGGTAACAGGCGTAAGTAAGTATCTTAGGAAGTAATATTCTTTCTAAAATTATTTGAAGAACATCATTAAGTCATTTTTGATTTAATATCGACATATATATGATCATATTATCATTAAGGTTTTATGTATGATAGAGAAGGTTTGTAGATTACATGGATGATTTTGATGGAATTTTCTTCTCTTAAATGAATGAGTTGATCTAGCTTACGGAATAAAACTTAACTAAAATCATCAAAGTTTGTTTTGAAATGAAATTTGAATAAATGACAATAAGGTCCAGAATATTCAATACATTACTCAAATGTTATATACTCTTACTATTTAATTAAAAATGTTTATGAATGACATACATTTTCAATTGAATGTATAGTAGTATTTTAATGTTGACAGACACTGTCAACAACAACCTACTGTTGGAGAGAACGAACCAGATTTTAAAGGTGGAAGGAATCAGGAAGAAGCTCTGGAAGTGGATAGGTTACGCATTAAGGAAATCACCCAACTGCATCACAAGGTAAGCACTCACATAGAATCCTGAAGGTCAAAGGAGAAGAGGAAGATGAAAGAACACTTTACGCCGAGAAATGGAGGCAGATATCAGAAGAATGAACAGAAGTTGAATAAACCTAGAAATAAATGCTCAGGATAGAATGGGTTGGAGAATCCTGGTTGGCGGCCTATGCTCCATTGTGAGTAACAGGCGTAAGTAATTAAGTAGATATTTTAATGTATATATTACCATAGTTGATCATTATTATCCAAATTTCAAATGATTGTAACATCTATGTGACTAAATGTCTGACTCCAATAAAATCATATGTTCATTATCTTTATCGACTCAGAAATATCGAAAATCCTTTTATATAGACTTGAATAGTGTTAGTAAATAACAGAATTAAACAAGTCAAATATGAGAATAAAGATTTGAATATGTATATTTCATACAATCGTTGATTAGAACAGACATTCAGAAAGACAAAGAGAAGTAAGTGAAGAGGATAGAGAGAAGCGAAACAAAATATATAAAGGCATGTTAATCAACTCACATTGATTAAGCATTACTCAATTCTTATAGTCAAATCAAATTGAGGCAAAGAGAATAATTAAAATGATCAAAATATGATCTAAGAAGAATGACTAAATTGATTTGTCGAGAAACTAGAATGACCTCGACACAGGGTTAACCACTACAATATTAGGAAACAATGGCATTATTCTGTAAATGATCTATTAAATAACTAATTATAAATATCACGATTTGTTTTACTACAAATGTTATACCTTATGGTTGATAGGATACCTGTTTCGTGAATTAGGAAATAAGAATCCATTACTATTCGCTTGAAAAGAAATGAAACTTAATGAGATTAATTTAGTCTAACTGCTGGAATGAGAAAGAAATCAGGAAGAAGCGTTAAAATTGGATAGGATACACAGTGAAGAAAGCAGCCAACTGAGTCACAAGGCAAGTTACGTGGAAATGTAAACATGAATCTCCATGTATAATAATGATAGAATATACGAATACGATAAAATATGGAGGCCTCGATACATGGTTCAAATTAGTAGAGTAGAAATACTATCTTTCCTATTGTTGACAATAGGATTTAGCAGCATTTTCTCTTGTATTCGAGTTGCTCTTTAAATTTAGTCTGGGGGTTACTAGAGACCTCAGGAAACTGAATATAGTAAGTAAAGATGGATAATGACTAGCAGTGGAATCCAGGATGTGCGACACATCGTCCTATTTGGGACTCGTCAGCTGGATGTACCTACATCACAGAGTTGGAGTTCACTCTAAGACTCGAACCCAGTATCGTTTGCTTCAAATGCTATCACGTTATCCACTTAGCTACTGAGTCCTGATAGTCACTTACTTGTGCAACGGGGTAAAGTCTAAATTCACTTAGGATTCTTTATTCGAATCTTCTCATTGGACGAAACGCGCGTCCTGAATTCCACTGCTAGCCACTATCCATCTTCGCTTATGGTGCTTGTGAACTAAGGAAAAAAACATCAAACTATATGTATAACAGAAAGGATAACCATTTAAAACGTTATCTTTTGAATCATTTAAATCATTCTATATAAACAGGATGCATATATGTGCCTGGTCCTACGTTGTCGCTGACTGACTGACTGATATAAACAGGAAATAATCAATATCTCTTACTTGAATTATTCTTTGGGTTGAATAAAATTTCACCGGTTGTTAACTCACTCGTCGCTGTTGTTGTTGTTGTTGTTGTTGGTGGTGGTGGTGTCGCTGTTGGTGTTGGGGGTGTTTCTCTTATTTTACCTGTAGTTACTAATGGTTGACTTGATTTTGATTTAACATTTTTTTTATCCATTATTGATATATTAGTAAAACATAATTCACATGGATTACATATAGGTGAAAATAAGTTTTTATGTTGATTTCGATTTGGTAAAGAATTCAATTTTGATTGTGTAACATTTGAAGTTGATTTTAATATAGGACTAGATGTATAAATGATTTGATCAGAGTTTATTTTGGAAGGATTCTTAGTAGTGACTACAGCATCTGTAGTTGGAGTTGTCGTATTCGTAGTAATAACAATAGTTGTGGTAGTAGTAACGGTAGTAGTCGAAGTAGTAGTAGTAGTAGTAGTAGTATTGGTAGTGGTGGTTACTGGCGGTTGTGGTGCACGATATTTTTTATAACTTCTTATGACAGTACATTCATTCGATAATGTTCTACATGGATTAGGTGATGACGTTTCTATTGTTAAAGATTCATTTTCAAATTTAACAAGTTTTGTCTCAGTAACAATTTCATGTGATGCTGATGTTAATGTTGTTGTTGTTGAGGATGATGTATGTGATGTGGATTTTGGAGTGGATTTCATCCTAGAATGATTCTTTGAGGTTTTTTGTTTAAACTGTGACTTTATCTTTGGTGAATGAATACGCCATTGTTTATAGGATTTATGATAAATAACATTGTCAATATAACGTGCCAAACCATATGTAATTAATTGTGATGAATCTGTTTCAGTACAATTTAAACGTATTGCACTACGCATTATACGTTGAACATGAAATCCTGAATGATTCTAAATGTGAATAGATGAAATGTTTCAATTACTTAGTAGACAACAGTAGTGAACAAATCGATGATATTAAGACATTTAAAGCAAAGTTAGATAGTAGCTAACTGTAGAATCTAGGATAAGCGTTTGGTCCTATTTTGGAACTTGTCAGCTGAATGTACCTTCATCCTTAAGTTGATGTTTAATCAAGTATTCGAACTATTTTATCTGAACCCATTTGATTTGTTTCAAAAATCAACGCGTTGTCCACTTAACTAATGAATCTGGAAAACGACTGGCTTGTTTAATTTCAAGGCGACCTGTACTGAACGATTATATGGCATTATTCACTTAACTACTCAATCTAGAAAACCACTAGCTTATGTAGTATTAAGACAATCTGTACTGCATAGGTATATGGTAAATGAATGAATAATCGGTAAATAGATTCAAACAACCAAAGTAAATATAATAATGGAATCACCATACTTTAGTGATATTTAAATTTATAGGAACTTAGATTTCTTACGTTTTGTGACTTAATGTAAGTCTACCCAATGCTTAATTTATATGAAACTAACAAGTCTTACATTAGTACTGATATCAACCAATACATACGACCATAATAAGCATTCAACATTCTGTTTATGTAATTATTCTGCCTTCTGATATATTTTGGTTTGAAGAAACTGATTCAGCTACTTTGTATCCTTAAGTCAAGATGTTGGGTGGTTAGAATGTATCAGAAAGATACTCTGGATCAAATTTTCTTGATAGTTGGCATCACTGATAGAACTGGTACTTCCTGTATGAAGCGGTTTCTTGTCATCCACTTTCACAGTCTCACATTTCATCGCTAAGTTATCCTTCTCTTTGACTGAGACTGAGTAAATGAGTGTTGAAGATATGAACTTTGCTAACACCATACGTTCATTTAAAACTATGGATACACTAATGATGATGATTTTCAAGTTCTGTGAAATCTCAGTCCATTATTTACAACTGACTATCACAATTTATCTAACATTAAAATACAGTGAATCTGATATCGAATCATTCAGTTACCTTAGTTATATTTCATCTTGATTAAGAAACTCCCTACCACACCAAGAACTGAACAGATACAACAATGAGTACTATGCAGGGATATATCAATATTATCCTATATCTATTGTAATTGAGATCAATCCCCACCGATCTATTCATGGTCATAAACAATTATTGAGATGTATATGCACATCCATAATAACACAAGTATTGTTTTTACAACGAAAGCCTTACCTTTTGATAACTTATAATTTTCATTTAAACCCTAGTGTATGTTGCTTATATCGACAGATATAAGTAGTATTTAACATCAAGCAGAAGTGGAAACCATGGCAGTAGAAGGCTAAGAAGATCGAGTTAAAATGAATAGAAATGGAGATAGAAAAGAATTGTAAACTAGAAGAATCATACAGAATGTGAAGGATAAATGATGGAAATTTACTGTAGTGGTAAATAAATTCCCAAAATAATTAGCTCTGTAAGTCTTCGACATTAGATGCTGACCACATTAATTTTAATAGACTCGCCTAGCTGAAGGCACTCAGTCATGCATCCGAACCAGATCACGAGTGGAAACGCCATTCTCAACATCCCCTACATTCGCTAGCCAGATTACATCAGTCGATCTACAATATATTGGTAACCTATCAAATATATCTTCGAAGCTCCTAATTTCTGTCTTTTTATTTCGCTTAGTGGGTACGATTCATAATAGAAGGTGCTACTGGTTAAAGCGTTGTCAGATTCTGAATATCTGTGGCATACTTCATTACAACTGAAGTATCCAATGTATGGTTTTCAGATTTTACCAAGATTATTTGTAATTTAGATGAATTATCAACTTTGCAATGATAAGTCAGTGAGGATCTTTGATGTTATATTCAGTTTATTTTAGTGATTTAAAAATCTACATTACTCAAGTTTAGATTCGCTTTTTGATTACTTCTGATTATTCAAGGAAACTAATGACCTACAATCAATGTATAAAGCATGATCTTCACTGATGTGTGGGCGAGAATGATAATGATTGGTTGTCTCGATGTGTCCGACATTAGATAGGATGACAGGTGTTATGTGTTATATATATATTCCCCTATCCTTATTATGTATTGACTGTTCCTTGATGATGGATACTTATTGATTGACTGTTCTTTGTGTCGGATTTTCGTGTGGAAATATATTAACGTTATAGTCAGGCTAATCTTGTGTTCTTGATCTGAGTTCTATTGAAGTCCTGTAGAATAGACACTGGGTGGGAATCTAGTGTAGATATTCGTCTAAGATAAATTAACGTCCCACATACGTGTAAGAAGTAAAATGACTGTTATAACAAGAACCCCTACTGTTATAACCAGCATCTTCTCCTTTACGTTTATAAGAATTAGCGACGGCATACTTACGTTTATAACATTTACACAACAAAGTGAACTTTGTATAATCTGTTTTGAAAAATGATATTCATTACATTTTTTGCCCCCCAAATGCCCTGGTACAGACGAGAGAGGTGAGAACCCAATCTCTCTCAAAATTCTTTCTCACGGCCACGCGTATGCAGCCTTTACCAGGGAAGTCTTACTCACTGCCTTCTTGTAGCATTACTGTTGATTACGAAATTGAGAGGACAAAAAGTGAATGTCCGTCGCTTTAACCTGGTTGGTGGACACGGAGGGTCCATTTAGGGGGGGGAAACCTTGATTCTAAACCAATAGTGGACATGGGCTCCAGTATCCTGAGAGGACGAATGGCGTATGAATTAATCGTTGGTCACCGGATAACATGGGACTGCATCTCCTTACTATGCTCCACTGCCTTGTGGGTCAGACCTTTAGGTCAAAGTCTCCGATTGTGGTCCTCTAAGAAAACCACCTGGTTCGGTCTGGGCATCTGGTCAGTATCACAACCCTCACACAAATCAAATGAGATTTGTGTAGCGCATATATATCTGATGCCCCTTTGTACTAATATTTATGTGTTTAAATAAATAAATAAACATTACGTTTAAAATACACAGTCATTACATTAATAAGATATAATAGTCTAATATATATTGATTACAAACGCTTTTATAACTATGATGAAAGTTTTATAATTTCACTACCAATTATATGCTCAAAGAAAGGAGATCTGAGCCAATGTGATAACTACAGAGGTATCAGTTTGTTATCAGTACCGGGAAAAGTTTTCAACAGAGTGCTGCTGAATCGGATGAAAGACGCAGTAGACGCCGAACTTAGGGATCATCAGGCTGGATTCCGTAAGGATCGGTCGTGCACAGACCAGATTGCGACAATACGGATCATCGTTGAACAATCAGTTGAGTGGAACTCATCACTATACGTCAACTTTATCGACTATGAGAAGGCGTTTGACAGCGTGGACAGGAGAACATTATGGAAACTTCTTCGACACTATGGAGTTCCTGAAAAGATTGTCAACATTATCCAAAACTCATACGATGGACTACAGTGCAAAGTGGTGCATGGAGGACAGCTGACAGATGCATTTCCAGTAAGGACCGGAGTCAGACAAGGCTGTCTACTCTCCCCATTCCTCTTCCTTCTAGTGATTGACTGGATTATGAAGAATTCGACATCTGAAGGGAAATACGGAATACAATGGACTTCTCAGAATCAATTAGATGACTTGGACTTCGCAGATGACCTAGCCATCCTATCTCATACACACAAACAAATACAGACGAAGACAACAAATGTAGCAGCAGCCTCTGAATCAATAGGCCTCAACATACACAAAGGAAAAAGCAAGATTCTCAAATACAATACAGAGAACACCAACCCAATCACATTTGATGGTGAAACTCTGAAAGAGGTGGATACATTCAAGTACCTGGAGAGCATCGTTGATAAACAAGGACGATCGGATCCAAATGTAAAAGCGAGGATTGGTAAAGCAAGGGCAGCATTTCTACAATCGAAATATATATGAAACTCAAAACAACTCTCAACCAATTTCAAGGTCAGAATCTTTAATACGAACGTCAAGACAGTCGGTTCTACTGTATGGAGCTGAAATGTGGAGAACTACTACGACCATCATCAGGAAGGTACAAGTATTTATAAACAATTGTCTACGCAAAATACTCAACATCCATTGGTCGGATACTATCAGCAACAGCGTTTTACGGGAGAGGACAAACCAGCATGTTCCAGCTGAAGAGGAAATTAGGAAAAGACGTTGGAAGTGGATCGGAAATACATTAAGGAAATCACCAATGTGCATCACGACTCAATCCCTAACTTGGAATGGTGAAGGGAAGCGGAAAAAAGGAAGGCCAAAGAACACACTACGCCGGGAAATAGAAGCCGATATGGAAAGGCTGAATAGTAACTGGAAAGAACTGGAAAGGAAGGCTCAGGACAGAGTTGGATGGAGAATGCTGGTGAGCGGGCTATGCTCATCCACAAGGGGTAACAGGAGTAAGTAAGTAAGTAAGTAACTAATTATTACTATTGTAGTGTGTACTACTGATGTCAACAGATATAAGTAGTATGTATCATCAATGAAAAGTGAAATATCTGGTGGCAAAAGGTTAAGAAGATCAAAGAAAGAGAGTATGAAAACAAAGAATAATTGGTATGGAAACAAAAAAACAATAAATTCTGAGACGATTGATTAACATTTTGCAAATGAAGTATTGGAGTATGGTTCTGTATTCAAATACATTTGATTGTCTCAATTTGTGTTCTCGTTCACTACACTATAATCTCAGTAATAACAATAGTAAATTAAGTAATTGATAAAGGTTACTATTAACCAATTTGGTATGAAACTTGAATATATATACCTGAAGTAATCTCCATATAAGACATGGTAGAAAAAATCCAGCAGCTTGTAATATGAATACAAATGTAGCCCATTGATAATAACGAATAATTGTGGTACGATTATTAACTGGTGGAAGTGTAGATTGAACATTAGCAAAATATGTATTTGTTACCCAACAATAATGTTCAGCATATTCTTCCCAACTACGTGAAAATTCTTGAGGTATCCAACATTGTAATGGGAGATGAGCTATTCATGTCAAAGATAAGAGAAGTAAATAGCATTAGAATGTGTATATGTTTGTAATACATGTATACATTATCATTTTATTCGAATCATGACACATTGTCTTCACTAAGTGCCTTTATCCATGGTCTGGTTGCACAGGGATCTTAGGGTGACAGTGAATCATGATCTTAAAACAACCGCACAGCTCCCCGAGGTTTCAGCCAAGAGGTTCGGAATCCTCTGTTCTTTCAGATGGATATTCAGCAAGGTAGATAATGGCACGTTCATTTAAGTACACACAACCTTTGTCAGAACTAAGCATGAAAACTGCATTCAGGCTGCAAACCTCTTTTTAAATGGTGACTCGGATATCGTGGAAAAAGTACAGAGGACAACTACCCATGCAATTCCAGAAGTCCGGGGTTCAACATACAAAGAGCGTTTGAAAAGCTAGATCACTTTACTCTGTCCTATCGCAGATTAAGTGGTGATCTGATTTTGATGTATAGAATACTAAGAAATGATTTTGGACCTAATATATCCTGTTTATTTCTTTCCACTAGATCGGGACATCTCAGTAGACATAGTAGTCTAGTAGAAAAGCCATGAATGAACAAAATGCCAATGACATACAGGTTTACCCCCTCAGTCATCAATTCTTAGAACCTGTTACCCGAAGCAGTGGTGTCCGCATATTCAATTGACACATTCAAAAGGAGACTAGACACTCACAGAAGCATACTAGAAAAGGATCAACATAGATCGTAGACTTTCTAACCTTATTATACAAATCTGAATCTGATAATGTTTGGCATTAGATTTTCATATATAATCAAAGTAACTTTTAATGTAAAACATTGAACAATCTTGAAAATATAACAATACAGTTATTCAGTGCTTCCTAATTTCTAATAACCGATATTCTTGACACATTAATCTCAATAAAATTGGTTCATTCAGCCATTCTATAGCGATTCCCTCTCAAGATTATAATTCATCTTAATTTAACAAACTGTTCAAAACAATCAGTGTTAAATCAACTGAATAAATGAGAAGCAGTGACCAGTGGAGTTCAACCAGGTCTGTTGAGAGATATCAATTCACTGAAGACAACGGTGAACGACTGCTCAATTTCGTGGTTTGATTGAAGTTAGACATTAACACCGTTGGATACCAGCCGGCTAAGTCGTCTAGTGGTTAAGTGCTCTCTTGTGACACTGATAGGTCCTGAGTTCGAATTTCGCCAGGCGGGATCGTGGATGGGCACTACTGAGGAGTCCCAAACTAAAACGAAACAGCCATCTAATGCTTCCAGGTTTACCGTGATTGGTCTAGTTACAATTGGCTGATAATTTCAACTATAAATGATATCTATGTAATTTCACAAAAAATTATAAAAGTACACCATTTGTTTTTTTTTCAATCTGATTTGAGACTTCAAAACTGTAAACAACTATGACTATTAAAAAACATAATTGTTTAATTTGAAAGGAAAGTACTAATAAAAAGTTCGTTTCCTCGCAATTGATTGATCACTGGGTGGTGATCAACGTCATGCGTTTCAAGTCCTTCTTAGTGCTGATTGAATGCTATAGATCAAGTTACAATATGGTCACTAGTCTAGGTGGCTCGACACTGCTTAAACTATGTTGAGATAAAATAGTGGTTGGAGATGGTCAACAGGAAACCCTGGACCTGGGTTTTGTGCTATTTGGCACTCGTCAGCAAGATATACTTGTAATCTTGAGGGGACTGATGCTCCCTGACGGATTCCATCGTTTCCTCACTTGAAGAGAAGACACTCGTTGGAGAATGAGTGAACATAAGTTGAATGATTCAAAGCTTGTGAAATATTTTTCAAATGGTCACTAAGTGCTTCATTTTGGTACTTACAACGACAATGGAAGCTTGAATTTACATTATGGCGAATACAAGACAATCTATAAGATACATAGCCTGATTGGTAGATTGTGATTATAGTGTCGTATAGAAAAAGTAGACTTTCATAGTTTTATGTAAATCTATAATTTGCTTTAGAATTTAAAATTGACATAATGTTAAGTGAGTGATAAATTCACTGATCACAAACAAATTCATCCTTATCTCAAATCTTTGTTTATTATTGCTTATTGTAATTTGGTTGGAGGGGGATTTTGTGGAGAATTCAACATTTTCATAGTTGAAATCATTAGTCAGTTGAAGCTAGACCACCATGGAAAACATGGAAGCACAGCTTTAAGGCCGTTTCGTCCTATTATGGGACTCCTCAGCAGTTAGAAATTAACATCGTTGGATGCCGGCTCAGTCGTTCATCGGATAAGGGATCTGGCTCAAGACTGGTAGATCCTGGGTTCAGATCTCGCGAGTGCGGGATCAAGGATGCGCACTGATGATGAGTCCCATAGTAGGACGAAACGGTCGTCCAGTGCTTCCAGGTTATTGTAATTTGTCAAGTTTATTAGGTGAATTCACGAGTTGATGTAAGGTAGATCACCATTGGAAGCTTGAAATTACTAGATGAGTATTTCTTCCTCGTTTGTGACTCCTCATCAGTGCACACTCACGATAGAGATGGAAATACTTCTAAATCATTATCTTTTTGGAATTATATCACTAACATTGTAATAAAATGACAGTTCATTTGGATATGAATGTAGGAAAGTCTTTAAAATGACTATTTTTAAACTGTTACAATTAAACAACAGTTGTATGCTTCGATAAAAATTAGGCTAATAGTGATAGATAGAATAAATTTTAAAAGACTAGCTACAACCATCATCTTATTGACAAACTACAAATGTGTCATAATGTGAATGATGTCAGTCAGTCACAGAGTAGAACTTCGTATGTACGTACATCAGTTCGAGTTGCCATACTACATCAGCACAGAGATACAGTTGTCGACTCAAATCCCATTGTGGTAGGGGTAATAAGAGTATAAGCAGTAATACGAAAGATTAGGGTTTGAAGATGTTATTCAAGCAGCATACCCCAGTGAAATAAATTTGGAAAGGGAAAAAGGAAAAGGATACAAATAATTCAGAAGATTAAAATTTGGTAGAACACAAAGAGTGGATGTACCTTCGCCATTGTAAACGATATTGAGACATATCATTCAAAGTCTCTAACCATTGATTGCTATCATCTGGCGCATCCCAACCAGGTAGTCTACATCTACCAACATGGCTTAGTTCAATTGTCAGTGACTTCATGGATTTGTGCCACGTTTTGATCTGTCCGCCTCTAGCTTTCTTCCAACCTACTCCTACACCATAAAACATTGCACGTCGGGGCAGTCGGTGGTCGGGCATACGTAACATGTGTCCCAGCCATCTCAACTGGTGACGTTTCACTACTTCATCAATCATTTTGCCGTCCTTACATAGTACCCGTTTCCTAACAACTGCATTACTTACTCGGTGATCCCAGGATATACGAGCAATGCTTCGAAGACACCTATGATCAAATACTAGCAACCTACGAATATCCTTTACTCTTACCTTCAATGTTTCACTGCTATAAAGTAGAACGGAACAAACAATGTGAATGATGTAGGCTTGTTGAAATAATATATAGTTTAATTACTTTGAAGTTGCAACTTAATGTACATTAATCTTTAATGAATATAAAATCAACAAATCATTTCGCTTGATTGAATAACATTAACGATTAACAATTAAAACAAAATTGAAGATCAAAGGATATTTAATCAAATGATTCATTATCAAACACTGAAATAATAACAATTATTATTAATATACTAAGCAAAGAGAGATAGCGACTAGCAGTGGAATCCAATCTCCTCATTTTGTTCTATTTTTCGGACTCTTTAGATCGATGTACCTGCATCTCAGAGTTGATTTTCACTCTGAAACTCAAACTCAGTACCATTCGCTTCAAACACCATTACGCTATATACTCATCTATTGAGTCCTGATGGTCATCTGTTTGTGAAGTTTAAATTCACTTATTGCTGTTTACTTGTATTTTCACATTGTTATTTAGGACAAGCAATTGATCAGTCTCTTGTTTGCATATATGCATCCTGTGCAAATTGCCTCGTTATTGCTTTAAATCAAGAGCTTTTAAAGTGAACATCAATTCTGGGATGTAGGTACATTCAGCTGACGAGTCCTAAAAATAGGACGAAACACTCATCCTAGATTTCATTGGTAGCCACCATCCATCTTTGCTTATAAAACTTATGAATTCAAACCATATCCTTAAAGGATACACATTCTCAGTCCTTAATAGCAATAGGAAGATCTAAGTAAATAAGATTCAAAAAATTGTTCTTCTTGGTAGGAAGAAAAAGATAAAATGGGTCTATGAAATATTTTTGCTTTGAGGCACATTTTAAAAATTTTGACTAAAAGTACTATACTACAAAATTAGATTATCACAATCCTAATCACCAGGTAATTGATTTCAATCATCATTCTTTAGCTAAAGGCTAAATCAATGTTTACCTTAATACATGTTTATTTTTAATGAATGAATGAAACAGAAAGATTTCTACGTTGTGAATAATGTTGTATTCACTTTGTTGTTAGTTCTAATAGAAGTCTGCTGCCAAATGCTTTGGTACGGCTGAGAGAGGAGAGAGTCCGCTCTCCCAATCCAAATGGTCTCACATGGCCACGCGTATATAGACTCTGTCACGGAAGTCCTACTCAATGACTTCTCGTGTCACCGGTGTTAGTTACAAAATTGAGAGGACAAAAAGCGAATATCTAGCGCTTTAACCGGGCCAGTGGACATGGAAAGTTCACTTAGGGGAGTTGGTAAAGCATGATTCCAAACCAATGGTACACATGGGCTCCAGTATCCTGAGGGAACAAATGGCGTATGAATCAATCGTTGATCACCGGCTATCATGGGACTGCATCTCCTTACGATGCTCCACCGCCTTGTGTATTAGACCTTTAGGTCAAAGGCTCTGGGTATGACTTCCTAAGGAAACCACCTGCTTCAGTTTGGGCACCTGGGCAGTATCAGAACCCTCCCACAAATCAAATGAG